AATAAACAAAACAATTACTTTTTTAGGGTTGTTTAATAAACACTAGGTTTAAGATTATAGAATTTTTTTTATTAATAAAATGTTTCTTAAATGATTTAGCATGGATTAGGAATGATGGTCGGACATCTGCACAATTATTATCTTCGCTTTTAAAGGAATGCTCTTCAATTAAAATATGGTTTTCTCCACACTCGCATATGTAACATTTGTCCATAATATTGCCTACCTTACCTTACCTTATTACATGTATATTTTGTAAGGTTCATTTGGTCATCGCTTTCAATTGGTTTGATATTTGTAATTGTATCTATAACATATAAAATAATTTTTCATTAGCTTATACGTTAAATAATAAAAATTGGCAATCATTGAGGACTGCCGACAGAATGGAACACTTTAAACAATGAAACGGCAGAGGCTTATTTTAGATTTTAAAACTAATTGTACTATCAAAATTAAAATTTCATAATTTTTACATTACTCTGATATTCACATCTATGGGCAATCCCAGTAACAATTATATACATTTTTAAATAATAATCGTGGTCAATTTAACATTACTCATATGAATGTATACATATACAGTATAGTATACACAGCGCTAATGCTACAAATCTTACAATAATAAAAAATATAGTAAATATAGTCAAAAAACTTATAAACTGCTATTACAGCATGTTGGTGACGCCAATTAATAAGATAACTTATCCAAAAAGTGACTACTGCGCATATTATACACGCCACACATCATAATTACAACAACAGATACACGGATAACATAAGAATGTCGGTAACGGAACTCGTAAGATCTTACCAAGATTGATTTGTCAAGAAAGAAGAATTTCGTATTAACAACTTACAGACTTACTTAGAATTTACAACGTGGACACTACAATGGTGACTTTAATTTAAAACACAGGTAGGACTAGTGCCGATTAATCATATTAATTTTGATTAATATGATTAATAGGCACTAGCCCTACCCGTTAAAGTAACTCGTAAGTTGAAAAAAAAATTTTCAACCAAAGTTAATAATAATAAAGCAACTAAAATTGGGATCACCCTTGCAAAAATTCATTCATGAATTTACTTACCTAGCTAGCTTACGTTAACTCGGAGCAGCAACGCGTTGCTCCGCGCGCTGGCAACCGCGCAACGTCACAGAATAAATAATAGTACTAACGTACAGAAGTTGCACTCTTTTGATGTGGACTGCTTGCCGACGTTTTAATAGCCTACATAGTTATTATTAATCAGATAAATCGCGCACTCAAGCTAAATAAAACTTTATCGCTGCGCGCGATCGTCCGTATTACTTTGCATCTTTTTTTCCTTCCTACGTCACAACGGACTTTCCGTGGTTGCTAAGGGCTGTTAATAAAGAGTAAAATAATATATTCTTTTGTTTATTTTTATTTATTTCAAAAAAAAAACGTTACCCCTACACTAGGATTTTCTCCTGTGTCGTGGAGGCAGTTTACAAACATAAATTGCACAAGGATAAACATCCAGAACCGGAACAATTATTTGTAGGTCATACAAATACTTGTTCCGTGCGGGATTCGAACTCGCGGCCCCCAGCGCAACAACTGATTGCTAAGCCACTGCGCCACGGAGCCGTCAGTAAAATAATACATTGTGAAATAGTAAGTTACTTAGGTAAAGTACCTATTCTGACTATAATCGACCATATTACATACGGTGTGAGTTCTGTGATGCCCAACGCATGCAACTTACCACCAGCGAATTTTCCGAACCGATACGACTTAGGAACCTTCAAGAAAAGAGCTTACACCTTTCTAAAAGGCCGGCAACGCATCTGCGATTCCCCTGGTGTTGCGGTTGTTCATGGGCGGCGGTAGTCACTTACCATCAGGTGAGCCGCATGCTCGTTTGCCCCCTATTCTATAAAAAAAAAAACTTGCAAGGCCATTTGTCGGGAATCGCGATGCTTGGTCCGTATAGGTTGATAGCGTAAACAACAAATAAACCCGAAATACGATTCCTAACAGAAATATGATCGTAATCTACTTAGTTGAAAATCTTGTGAACAAAGTTTTAATTTCAGTATTTTGTGCTATTATAACTTAAAATATGTTAATTACAAAGACGAGAATAGGTATGTAAGTAGGTACATGGGTAGTAAAGTAAATTTCAACTCAGTTTTGTAATAAAGTACTTAGGTACTACTGCTGTAGTTAAACTATTACTTCATTATTTTTTCGTTATAAGTACTTATCTAACAAAAAAATGAAATAAATTCACCTTTCATTATCCTTCGGTAACTCAAAATATGATATATCTGAATCCTTTTAACTGCTTCCATTAAAAGCATCCATCCCCGCAACAATTATAGTAGGAACGACATTTTGCCATTATAATTTATCAAATAGGTAATATACATATATATTATTCTTAAATTACATTAAAATTTTTTCAACTATTTTATCCTACAATTAAATATACTAAACACTAAACAAAAACTATTTCGACGAGTATATGAACAAGTATTTACAAAAAATTATTTACGTAAACAGCGTTACTAAAACTTTAACGTTCCATCAATAGAATAGAGCGCGCTAGCCCCGACTGCGATCTACCCCTGGGGAAGCTTGCGATTGTAGGTAATTATTTCACGGAGGTAGCAAGAGTGACAGCGGCCTGGCAACGTGTCTTGTACCTACTCGTGTTGACGCCTTATTATCAAAGAAACCGAGCAGCACCGGAGAGTACCTACAGCGGCGGTGCTTTTTTATAGGATAAGGGTGACAAACGAGCACACAGTCTACCTAATGGTAAGTGGTTGCTGTAGCCTATACACATCTACATCTATCCTCGATTATGAATCAAAATGCAGATGCGTTGTTATCCGTAAGGACTAAGTTGGAATACCTCGTTTCCAGTAAAAAGGGTCTCTGGTTCTCTATATTCACCATACGCTTAAAGCTGCTATTTTACGCTGGTATTCTGTAAGAGCGTGGTTCTTCCCCGCTCGAGCCGACCCATTCATGCTACAACTTCAACAGTCATATAGCTGCAGCATGGCTCTTCCATGTAAAAGCTTAGTCAAATATTTATCATATCACCCTGTTTTGTTACTATTAGTTATAAATGTCATCACTAATCACTCTTTTTATTTGTCTTTTTTAAATTTTCTTATCTTCAATGAGACTACCGTCTGATATAAAGAACTAATCGGCTTTTCATGTTTTCCCACACATTTGAAAAAACATTTTCACTTATAGCCATTTCTCTCAATTTCTCAAACGCATTTATTATTCAATGGTGTAATTGTTCCACCGAATCCACGTTCTCCGCGTACACATCGTCTTTGATACACCCCCAGAAAAAAATCGAGTGGCGTGAGGTCTGGCGATTCTGCTGGCCACCTACGAGGTCCAAATCTATCAATCCATTGTGCACCAAACTTGTCATTTAGCTACTGCCTGGCCGTTGTTGCAGAGTGTGCTGGTGCGCCATTTAATTTGTACCACATTCGTTGGATCGATAGACGTTTAGGCTATTTGTGTATTCTGACACTGTATCATTTAGAAGAATAACAAACCTTTATTCGTTCAAAGCCCCATCAATGAATACGGGTCTGATGATGTCGTCACCGTGAAAAGCTGTCCCAAATATTTACCGAAAATCTGTACTGATTGGCTGGCTCCCGCCAAACGCGCAGATTTTCATTTTTGGTTGCCGATTTGTGCATATTATGCTGGTTTCACATGCCGTTTCTGATGAGCATGCTTTCGTTAGTCCAAGAAATTTGGGAAAGAAAGTCACTGTCCCCTTCAATTTTACTTAGTAACCATTGACAATAATTCACTCTTAATAATTTATCACACGATAACAGAGCATGTACGTTTCTAAACTTGAATGGGTACAACTTTTCGCGCTAGTTTTGGGTGGATCTTCAAAATATTATATCACATTTTCAGTTAACTGGATTGGGTTTTGTTGTGTAGGCGGTCGATCAGGCCAAGATCCACTAGCCGGATTTCGAGGATGCGCTTAAGAGTTCCTACAACAGTGCGAGGATGACTTGGACATTGTCTTGAATGGTCATATCTCTCGCGATACGTCCTTATCAAAACGGCATTTTGACGACATTCTCTGTAAATTAGGATCATGTCCGCATATTCAGCTGCTGTGTAGTTCGGATGTGTATTTGCCATTACAATCACAAGTTTACACAAGCACTAATAACACAAATAAAAGCAAGAGATGTAAACGTACGTACTAGATTAGAAAACAAAAATAAAACAAAGGGTCTTTATCGCAGTATTATAATCTAATTACTGTCCAATAAGTCAAAAATTAATAAATAAGACAAAAGGTAAGCGTCTTTTTCGCGGAAAATTTCACAAAAATATTAGTCGAAGTAATTAGGGGCACTACTGTGAAAAAGTGTGTCAAAGTCACGGATTATGCTAGCACTAGAAAAGCAAAAAAAAAAAGAATTCGATTTCGGTGCAGCGGGGTGGGAGGGCGCGCGTCGCCTGCGATGCCCGCTCACCGACAAAGGGATGTCTCTTTCCTTCAATAGTATTGCTTATTCGTTTTAATTTCAATGATGCGATCTTATGATCCGTGAACCCGTCAAATGACCGCTGCGCGACAATTCTCTAAGTGCATGTCACTTTAAGATGCTATTTTCTAAAATTTTAAATAAATCTGTAAATATGGAAATATAATTTCTTCAGGAAACGAAAATGTGAAAACGTATATGTGTGTTAAATTAAAGTCACCCTTGTTGCAGCACGTTGTATAACTATACCTTAAAATAGTATATAACTCTAAACCTGTCTCTTTCTATTGTTACTTGTTGAAGAGACAACTTGCATTTCCTAAATAAACGTCGATTTTTATGAGTAAGGCTACTAATATTATAACTCAAATACTATTAATAATTCTCAAACTGAATAAATCGACGGAGAATATTGTTAGCAAGAGATTACAAATAGCTTTAATTTTGAAGGATAACCAATAACACCTTACCGAATAATGTACATGGATTCTAGTGTGGATTGCTTCTCAAATAGGCTGAGGTTGTATGGAATATATGGGACGTCTCGACGAATTCGAACTTGAGGATGTGATTTTTTGAAGTTGCATATTCTGTTGTTCCTAATTAGAATAAAAGTACTATGAAATGTATTACATATAATCAAACATATTCGAAACATACATCGTTTACAACGTTGCCTAACTAAATAAATTTTAATGAAAACATACGGAGTAAAATGAAACATGCCAACATGCAGTACAACTTGTTGGTTAAGGTTGATTATGGAACTCAAAAATCTAAGACTTGTTACAGTCAGCAACATTATCAGAGCAATAGTAATTGCTCTACACACACGAACAAGGAGATAGGCAGCAGCGTCTCCTTAATAACAAGTAACAAAAAAACTGCAGTGCTTGCCAAGTGTGGCAACTATGCCAAATATTCCGCTCTATGAGGCAATCTATAGGGAAGATCTATGTTCAGCTATGGACTTTTAATGGACCGTAACAGTAATAGTAAAACCAACCTAGTATGGTGCGAGTTTTCTTGAAAATCTATAAAATAATAATAGATGTTGAAATGCATCGGGCATTTTAGGAAAAATTACAGTGAGCGGAAAAATGTGATGTGTGTACTTACATTTGATATCAGATTCTTGTCATTGCAATGTGAATTGTCACATATAGCATAAATTTTTAATCCTGTTTCGGGACAAACACATTGTCTACAATCAATTATGAATCGTTCTCCAGGAAAACATAAATCTAGACTCCTTTTAGTATCAACACCAATTCGATCTTGTAATAAATTTGATGATGATAATTCAAAATTTGACCACGTTGCTACTTCAGGACATATATGATTTGTACAAACTTTATCATTTTTGTTTCCATTTAGCGGGCACAAGCAGACATTACACTTTTCGCTAAAAAGATGCCCTGGAGAGCAAGTATCTGATCTAAGATATTTTTTCTCGCAAATTTTTTTTGTGCATTTTGCCACATTTTTTAATCCATCTCTCGGGCATAAACAAATGTTACAATCTACTTCATAATAATCTAAGGGCTCACAGGTGAAATTTACAGTATTATGAAACTGATCGACACTTGAACAGTAACTTTTTGTGCATGCTTTATCCTTCGACAAACCGCTTTCGGGGCAAATGCAATAATTGCACTTTTCCTTGAAAATTGATCCAGGTGTACAAGTGTCTGACAATTTCTCTGACGTAAAATAATTGTTTAGTTTATTTGATTCCTGTATCAACCGTTTTGCTTCACAGTCGTCATAGGTACACCACTTTGGATCAATTTTTCCTTTTTTAGAACAGTAACACGTATTACAATCGAATTCTACAAAAGTGTTCGGCTGGCAAAGAGTTTCGGCATTAAATTTTAGTTGATTACTAATAGACGTTCTGTAATTACGAGTACTTGTATAATTTTTTTCTTGTGTAAAAGGCTTGCAATATTTAAGATTTGCTTTACCACTAGCGCATATACAGTAATTGTTCTCAATTAAAAATATAGAATTCTTTTCACATGATCTCTTTGGAGCTATTATTTTAATATCAGTGTGTGTAATTAAATTTTGTATTTTTTGGCTATCTGTTAATAATTCCTCTAGTATATTTAATTTATTTTGATCATTACAAGTTCTGGTGCAATATTTCTCATTGAATGAACCATTTTGTAGACAAATGCATTCCACACAAACTGGCAAAATCTCTTCTGGATTGCATGACTCGTTCCAATTAATATTATATGATTCTATGTTTCTCGTGCAATTTATTTCTGAGCAAGAATTATCATTAAGAGTGCCTTTCGTATTACAGTCACAAATGAAACATCTTGGTCTCGTGAAAGTGTAAGGAACGCAACTATTTTGCGAGATTAGGAGACTAACTAAATTTGATTTTGGCGAGTTAACATTACAAGTGGTATTAATACATATTTTGTCGTCCCGAATACCGTTTTGTGGACAACGACAAATATTACAGTTTTGTTTATAAAATGATCCAGGCTTACATTTTTTAATTAATTTAACCTGCGTCGGTTTTTGACATACCTCAAAACATTTTTCAAGCAAAAATCTTCCGTCGTCTGAACACAAGCACTGAAGGCATGGGAAAATGTACATAACGTTTGGTATACAATTAGTGTCATAAACAGATGCAAGCTTGTCCGATGATTGCTGATTAGATAAGCAAGAAGCATCAACTGTACATTGAGCTTCAGATGTACGACCAGATGCTGGACAAAAACAGATGCTGCAGTTTATTCTGTAGTATTTCAAGGGAATACACCAATAACCAATAACCGACAATTCTCTGCGTGTATTGTATATCTTATCACTACAGTAAATTTCCGTGCAATGTAATTTGCCTTTATTGCATATGCATTGATTACAACCTAGCCAAATAATCTGTCCATTTTGACCTGACCTGCGATGTGGTAGCTGTTGACAGTCCTTTTCCGACCATCGGCCCGTTAAGTCGCAGTGACATAGTCGACCATTACTAAAAAAATGTGTTTTAGGGATGCAAGTGTCTATAAAATAAGATGCAAGTTATAACATAAGATAGAAGAAGATATGACAATTTTGGAACATAAAAAAATTTTCATAATACTTACAAAATGGAAATGTTTCACGTGCTAATTGTGCTGTTAAAGCTACAAATGCTGTCATCCTCAACATTTTTAAATCAATAAATTGTTTAGTAATCAATTTAAATAGCAAAACTATATTTAAAATTATTGTCCAATTTATAACGTTAATCCTCAATAAAAATATTTTGTAAATGTTTTATTTCTTTGTCTTATCAACGTTTTTAAGTGGCGTAAAATTAAAATTTTAATAGTTATAGGAAAATTTTATAACGTTTATGCGCTTAAGTGATAAAACATGCATAAATAAATTACTTGGAACCAAACATGGAATATACGAGCAAATAACATTATTATCATTACAACCCTTCACAAGTCCACTGCTGAACATAGGTCTTCCCTAAGGAATGATAGAAAACATGTTCCTGAGCTACCGATTACTCTGGTTCTACTGCGAATATCCTCATTTTTTAAGTGTATCACGCAGAGAAATCCCAAGCATAGCCCTATCCATAGCCTATTGACGTCATTGAACATAGTGCTTAGGCCTTCTATCGACTCCATAAGGTCTATATCGTCGTTAATTTGGAGGTGTGTCATGTACACGCTATTGATGTAAATGCCGCATTTTTTCTAGTCCAGTAGCTTGAAAACGTCTTCCAATGCAGCGGTGAAGAGTTTCGCAGTTATGACGTCACCCTGTCTTACACCTCTCTGCAGTTGGACGAGTATCGTACTCTGGTTCTTTTCTCTGGTACTGTAGTTACAATAAAATACTTCAGTACTACTACGAGTTGATTGAATAAAATGTAAATTGCGGTTTACGATTTATGACGTATTAAAAAACTACTTAGTAGATCTCGTTCAAACCAATTTGCAGTGGAAGTTTACATAGTAATGTACATCATATATTTTTTTAGTTTTATCATTTTCTTATTTTAGAAGTTACAGGGACACACATTTTACCACTTTGGAAGTGTCTCTCGCGCAAACTATTCAGTTTAGAAAAAAATTATATTAGAAACCTCAATATCATTTTTGAAGTCCTATACCATAGGTACCCCACACGTATGGATTTGATGAATATAAAAATTTTGAGTTTTAGTTCTAAGTAAGGGGAACCCCCAAAATTTAGAGTTCTCTTTACCTATTTTTCTATGAAAATCTTAATGCGGATCACAGAATACATCTACTTACCAAGTTTCAATAGCATAGTTCTAATAGCTTCTGAAAAAAGTGGCTGTGACATACGGACGGACAGAGAGAAAGACATGACGAATCCATAAGGGTTCCGTTTTTTGCCATTTGGCTACGGAACCCTAAAAATCAAGAGCCGTTTGTCCCCTAATAGTAGCGATTAAGACGTAGATTTCTTATTTTTAAAATATCATAGTGCCTGACTGCAATAAAATTAACATAGCATGCTAGCTGGCAATGTTATCCTTATTTATAGTGGATTTCCGCAAAGTAAAGGTGTACTTACAACACAAATATTCTTATATGTGTTTGTTTAGTTTCTCTAAAAAAACAAGTGTTACCAAAATTGTATTGTTCGGAACATTATATAGCTATTTCCTTTAAACTCTAACGATACAATAAAATAAAATAAAAAAAAAACATAAAACAACACGCATTAATTATGAGCTGAGCTTAAATTACAATAGAATAATTCGTGATTTTATTTCTCTGGTAGAAATGTAATTAAGCCTCACTTTAGTAAGAATACTCATATAGGGTAGAGTATACTCTTACAGCCCTATTAATTAACATAGGCTTGAGCAAAATTAACTTTACTTCTAGTTTAAAGTTTAAAATAACTAATTTGATGGATTAATAAACATAGAGTAAACTAATCCGAATCTACTCTCGGAATAATTAATCCTTGGCGTTACATAGTTTGACGACGGAATAAGCATAGAGTAGCCGCGTATTTTGACATTTTGTAAAACTTTACGCACGTTGTAGCTGCCTAAATAAGTTCGAATTTCGTTACTTCTATTAATATTTGTTACTTTAGTGCATTGTCAACAACCTCAATTTTGAGGTTGTTGACAATGCACTATTCATTTGAATAGAGATTATTTCATTGATGATTATCAATAGTTTTTACAATTAAGTGTATAATTATTACTTGTTATGATTTCTAATTCAATTACTCTTGCTTTCAACAGATACAAGATGATGCAGGAGATCTAAGTGGAATGTGTCTGCCAAAAATATCACTTGTATGCAAACAAGTTGCTTTAGCACTAGTAGCACAAAGAGCACAGTGGATTAAAATGCCACAAAGTGATGTGGAGCAGAACCATGTGATTGCAGGTTTTTATTCACTATGTGGATTTAGACAAGTGATACGGGCTATTGATTGATCACATATTCTAATCCCGAAAGTCAGTGTAAATATCGGCCAATATTACATAAATAGAAAGGATACAGTTCAATAAATGTAGAAGTAAGTTTTATAGCACCTAGCTAGCCCTTCTTTGCCATATAGTTATCTAGTTATATCTTAATCAGATTCAGTATAATCTACTTAATCTATCATTTCATATTAACAAAGCTATGAGTACTTTGTTCCAGGTTGTGTCAAATGCTAACTTAGAGATCATGGATAAAGTGGCACATTGGCGAGGTAGTACACATGAGTCAAGAATATTTAGTGAAAGTTGCATAAAACAAATGATTGAGCAGTCAGAATTTAAAGGTAGGTTTCTTGGAGATTCTGGTTATGCTTGTACCCTTTATTTATTCACTCCTTTCATGCGTCAGAATTCACAAAAGGAAGAAAAGTACAACCGGTCGCACCTCAGGACCCGAAACATTGTAGAACGATGCTTTGGATTGTGAAAGCAAAGGTTTCGGTGTTTACAGTTAGGACTGAATACAAAATTAGTGAATACAAAACTATATATTGTTGCATTGGCAATACTGCACAACTTTGCAATGCACAAGAAAGATCTGCTTGAGGATGCAGTAGAAGATGATGGAAATGTTCCAGTCACAGAATTAGAAAATTACTCCCTAAGACGAAATTCAGTACGGGCAGCATTTATCAATGAACATTTTTAAAATAAATTATACACTATTTACATCTACAAAATAAAATAAAAAAATTGAAGCTACGTATGTATATTTAACTTATTTTATTTTGTTATATAGAAGCCAATTCTGGCTTACAAATTTCAACAAAAAGATAAGTAATAAGACAGTTATTATGATAATAATAACTAATAATTTCTGCGAAGTCATTGTCAACTGTCAAAGCATAAAGTCTACATACAATTTTTATCAATATGGAATAAATCAGGGAAGTAATGTGATAATATTTCATTTATAAAGTGTTTTATTTAGGCCGTAAATGATTGTTTCAGGGGAAGAAGCAGGGTACAGCACATTTCAAGTCAATATGAAGCTATGTAATATAAAAACTTTTGAGTGCTGTAGAGATTTGTTTAGGTTTTTTAATAAATATCTCCGCTCCGCTACATTCACATCCGGATTTTCTAGTGTCAAAATTGTTTGGGAGTAGGACTGTATGATAATTAAGTTACTAGATTTAGTTTTCTTGATTATAGTTTTTAATATTGTAAATAATAAAATATTGTATATTATTTTAAATAAATTATTTAAAATGGGTGAATGTCTGGACTTGGTCCTTATTAGATTATAAATTAATGAAATAACATTTTTGTTTTATTTTTTTAATGATTAATATATTATATATATATATATTTTTTCTTTATATTAATTTTGCTTTCACACACTTTTTTCTAAAATTTTTCTTTCAAGTATTGCACATTTTAGTTAAGCTTTATATATTTCCATTTTAATTGCATGTTCTTCCATTTTAATTGCATGTTCCCCTTCAGCAATTTCCAAACGTCTCTTTGTTCTTCCTCTTTCAACATTTTGCTATGGCTTATCATATTGTTTATATAGTCACCATGGTTCTGTAAATGAAAACCAGTTATTAAAAAATATTATTGTTGATAAACATAACATACACTACATAAACAGAAAAACAATTATTGCTTAGATAATTAAATAGAATAGGAATGATTGATGAATTAATGAATTATGGAATTAGTCTTCTAAAATGTTATAAGCAGTATAGCAGTATGTACATTTGCTAAGAAACTAAAGAATAAAAAATGTACTCACAATCCCATCTTAATCATATATATTATGATCCCTCAACACCTCTGCAGGATTCAACAAATCTTTGATTTCTATTACTCCATCATTAGGAGTTGCAGGTCTTGCCGCACCACCAGTTTTAGTCAATTATTTTTTATAGGGGCTGTATTTCTTCCGGGCATTTACCTTCATAGTTTTCCACTGTATTTTTAGCTGACTTAATTGTCGATGTCAGCTATTTAACTCATTAAACCTGTAAGTACAGAAGATGAAATTAGTTGTATGAATATTAACCAAATAGACCCAATTGAAAATGTATAGTTTATTTTTTTATTTTTGATTTTGGTTGTTGGGCCTACTTTTCAAATGCTTGTCAATTTTGTGCCTAAATTGAACAACAGATTTAGAACAAATTTAGCAGAAATATAGATCATACTCTAGAAAAACAAACAGGGCACCTAAAAGTTGTGTCTTTTTGTGAACCTCTTCCCACGCTTTAGTTTTTATCTTGATTGTATTTGTATCTAGGGATTTATTTTCAATAATGTCCGCATATTCTTTGAGCACAGTACGAAATAAAAGCTGAAACAGTAAAACATAATATCAATAAAGACCACGGTACAACGATTTATTAATAATAATTTGATAAAATTATTGACTTAAATTACCTTTTCTCCTTCATCCCCATTTTGAGAGCGATTGCGTTTTTTTAAGACCTGATTAAAACTGTTTTAATTTGGAACTTAGTTTTTCCACTGAGTCCGAAAACAACACGTAACGCGTATTTTTCAACTATTATCAAGTTGTCAAACTCTAAATATTGCCTGTCACTGTCTATAATGTCATCATCAAGCATTGAGTTCATTCACCAATCATTCACTGACTCACTCATTTTACTTAATCACAGTGTAGTTTTAATAATAATAATAATAAAAACCTAACAAACACACATGACAATAATGATAATAATAAATTAGTAGAGATACCCGAAACAGAACTGCTGCATCAATTTTGGTCAAATATATGGTCAACCCCGAAAACACACCGAGAAAGCGACTGGATTAAACAGGATAGGGAACTATTAGTAAATTTACCAGAGATGATGTTCGATGAAATAAACATGGATTTATTAACTTCAGTTATTAACAAAACACATAGCTGGAAAGCGACTGGAACCGATAAAATCCATAACTTTTGGTATAAAAAATTTACTTACTTACATCCGCTCTTACTCTCACATATCAATACTTTTATAAAAACACCAGAATTATTGCCAAGCTACATTACACTAGGAACAACTTATATGTTACCTAAAGACCGAAGTAACTCAAAAAATCCAGCCAAATACAGGCCAATTACTTGTCTCCAAAACATTTATAAGATTATTACGTCTTGCCTTAGCCAATTAATTTACAAGCACGCTATCTCCCAAAATATATTAGCAGAACAACAGAAAGGATGCAGAAAAGGTAGTTTAGGTTGTAAAGAACAGTTGATTATTGACGCAGTCGTCTCTAAACAAGCAGTCACCAAAAAAAGAAATATTTTCACTATGTTTATTGACTATAAAAAAGCGTTTGACTCAGTACCCCATAGCTGGCTAATATATATTTTAGAACACTATAAAATTCATCCTCAAATTATAGAATTCTTAAAAAACGCAATGCTCCACTGGAGAACTACTCTCAAGCTTTACAATGGTGACTCTTGTTTAGAGACTGATATAATCGCAATCCGAAGGGGAATATTTCAAGGTGATGCCTTAAGCCCTCTTTGGTTCTGCCTGGCTTTAAATCCTTTATCTAACCTTCTCAATAGAACTGACAAGGGATATAAAATCACCAACGGAAATACACACCACACACTATCACATTTACTTTATATGGATGACATAAAATTGTATGCAAGTAGTTTAAAAGATATACATATACTTGCTGATATAACGGAAAGCTACTCAACTGATATTCAAATGGAATTTGGAATAAATAAATGCAGGATACAATCAATTCGTAGAGGCATATCAGAACAAAATTCATATACTCTCCAAACAGGTGAAACCATTGAACCTGTAGATGAAGTCATTGGCTATAAATATCTAGGATTCACTCAGACTTGACAGATTCACCAAAAACACGTTAAAAAAACATTAGAAAAAGAATTTAAATTACGCCTAAATAGAATACTTAACACACATCTAAATGCACGGAACATCATTAAAGCAGTGAACACATTCGCTATCCCAATTTTAACTTATTCGTTTGGTGTAATTCATTGGTCTAAAAGTAATTTAATAAAGCTGCAACGTCTCATCAATACAACAATGACTAAATACAGACAACACCACCCTAGATCTTGTAACGAACGACTCACATTACCTAAACTAGAAGGTGGAAGAGGTTTAATAGATATAAAAAATCTTCATAACTCTCAAATTTCAGCTATTCGAAACTTCTTCCATCAACAAGCCAATAATAGTGCGCTTCATAATGCTGTTGTCCAAGCCGATTCTAAACTCACTCCTTTAAACCTCAACGATCAAAGAAAACAAAAGAATGAAAGTATTATATCTGCACAAGATAAAATTAACAGCTGGCTGCAGAAGACGTTACATGGAAGACACCGTCGCGACTTGATGAACACAAACGTAGACAAGATAGCGTCTAACATGTGGCTCAAGCGCGGAGAACTCTTCCCTGAAACGGAAGGCTTCATGTTAGCAATTCAGGACCAAACTATACATACTCTAAACTACAGGAAACACATAATTAAAGACCACACTCTACAATCAGACCTTTGCAGACATTGTCATAATAGCTCAGAAACCATTCAGCATATCACTGGTGCCTGCAGCTCAATAACCCAGACCGACTATAAACACAAACACGACCAAGTAGCTGCCATTATTCATCAATACCTCGAATATAAATATAATCTTATAGATGAAAAAATAGCATATTATAAATACAAGCCCGAAATCATACTTGACTCTCGTGAATCCAAACTCTACTGGGACAGAACTATATTAACTGATCAGACCGTGCATTATAATAGACCGGATATTACGCTACATGACAAAAAAAATGAATCAGTTTATCTTATAGATATTGCTATACCAAATACGCACAATTTAACTTCCACCTATAATGAAAAAATAGCCAAATACACTGATTTGTCCATCGAAATAAAATCCCAGTGGAAAGTAAAAACTGTAAAAACTGTACCTATTATAATATCTGCAACTGGCGTCATTCCCCGTTCACTTTTTTCTAGCTTAAAGGATCTAGACATCCATAAACTTACCTTTATATTGCTGCAGAAAGCAGCAATATTGAATACGTGTAGAATAGTCCGTAAGTTTCTGTCTAAAGATTAAACATTCAACCGAGTTCGTTTGGCTAACAGCCCGCGAATAAGGTATAATACCTCGGAAACGAGAGAATACTAATCAGAAAGAATAAAAATAATAATAATAATAAAAAATAAGGGTTATCTTCCAGGGCGATTGTCTGAGTCCAATTTGGTTCTGCCTCTCTCTGAACCCTCTCAGTACCTTACTGGAGGGCTCCGGGAGGGGATTTCAGCTTCGGAGAGGAGGTACAAAAGTGACCCACCTTTTCTATATGGATGATCTCAAGTTATTCGCCTCCAGTCGCTCTCATCTTATGGAATTGCTAAACATCACTTGTGATTTTGGCAATTCTATTAGAATGGAGCTGGGGACGGATAAGTGTGCGGTCCTCCATGTTGAAAGGGGAAGGGTTGCTAACTCTGAGGGCATAGATTTATCTATGCCCATCAACATAAGGACCCTTCCCGAGGCTGAAACATACCGATACCTGGGTGTGTCACAGAACATCGGTGTAGATGAGGCGGGTATGAAACAGTCAGTTTGCGATGTGTTTTATGCACGCTTGACCAAAGTGCTTAGCAGCCTTTTGTCCGGTGTGAATAAGACGCACGCATATAACGGTTGGGTCATGCCTGTTCTCATGTATACCTTTGGCATACTTAGGTGGACTCAGACCGAACTAAACGCTCTGGACAGAAAAGTCCGCACTATAATGACGTCCCACAGTATGCATCATCCGAGATCGTCAGTAATGAGGCTGTACTTGCCGCGGAAGCATGGTGGGCGCGGCTTTTTAAGCGCGCTTACCATGCATAATCGCGAAGTGTGCAGCCTCCGTAATTACTTTCTGACGAGAGCGGATGATCCATACTATAGGGACGTTATTTGTTGTGATAAAGGACTGACCCCTCTATCCTTAGCCAACGAGCAATGGCAAGACCCAGCAGTACAGTGCATTTCCGACCGGGAGACCGTATGGAAGGAGAAGGAGCTCCACGGGAGGTTCTACAAGGCTCTACATGAGCCTTTCGTAGACACAGTCGCCTCCCTTCACTGGCTACGTTTCGGTGACCTCTTTGGGGAAACCGAGGGTTTTGTCTGTGCGATACAGGATCAGGTTATTAAGACCAACAATTATCGGAGATACATCCTAAAGGATGGCGCCGTCG